GAGTGCATCCAGTCTTAGAATTCAAGGGGAGGGATGGCTCAAGGAAGAGGAAGGGAGCCATGAAGTCATAACCTTACTGAGATCAAGCAGGATAAGGACTGGATTCAGCAAGGAGGAGTCACTGGTAACCTTGTCCAGACCAGTCAGAGGGGTGGGTGCAGAAGGCAGACGAGGATGGGAAGAGGAGGGGGTGGGTATGGTAAGGAAATGGAAAATAGAGGCAGACATCTTGTCAAGAAACTTGGCTCTGAAAAGGGAGAAGGAAGACAAGGTGGTAGCTGGAGACACAGTGCCCTCAGAGGAATTATTTGTGGTTTTGTGTGTGTGTGTGATTTGGGTGCAAATTTACAAAGCAGATTTGTTTTACTCTCAATAGTTCATGCACATTTAGTTTCACAGCCCCAATTATAATCCCAACAATAAAAAGCTAGTGCCTAAAGCATTTGACTGCTAACCAGAAGGCTGGTGGTTCAAACCCACCAGCCATTCCTCGGAAGGAAGGTTAGGCAATCTACTTCCGTTGTGATACTGCCTCGGAAACCCAAGGAGGGGAGACTATGAGTCGGATCCAACTTGACAGCAGTGCGTTTTGCGTTTCCTGTGACCACCCCCTCCCTGTGTCCTTCTATCTGTGCATTCCTGTCTGCCCAGCTTTCCCTCTATGCAAATGCTGCCCTGCTGATGTCCCACGGTTGATTGACCTAGGGGTGCATCTCCTTAGGGTAGGAGGGTGCATCTGCCTGGAGTAGGTGTTCTGCTTAATCCATGGAAGTAAGTCTAGTTCCAGGCCCGAAGGATAACCCAGGACCATAGTCTCAGGGGTTCCATGAGTCTCTGTCCAACCATTCTGGTCATTTTTGTGTTTTTGAGTTTTGTTCCCCATTTTTCCTCCCAGTCTATCCAGGACCTCCGATTTTGATCCTTTTTTGAGTGGCTGGCATTAGTAGCCAGGCACCATCTAGTTCTGGTCTCAGGATCGTGAAAGTTGAGGACCCCGTGGTCCATCATGCCCTTGGATTAATTGTTTCCATATGACTTTGACTTCCTTCACTCTTCTTTGCGCCAGACAAGGGGAAACCAATAGTTGTATCTTAGATGGCCGCTTGAAAGCTTTTAAAAAAGATCCCAGTCACTAGGAGTCATTTGGTTTTATGGTTATTTTTTAAAGTCAATTTTATATTGAAGTAATAGAGCCCTGGTGGTGCAATGATTAAAGTGCTCATCTGCTAACCAAAACATCAGTGGTTCAAACCCACCAGTCATTCGGTGGGAGAAAGATGTGACAGTCTACTTCTGTAAAGATTACAGCCTTGGAAACCCTATGGAGGCACTTCTGTTCTATCCTGTAGGGTCACTTTGAGTAGGAATCAACAGCAATAGGTTTGGTTTGGTTTGGTTGGTTTTATATTGAAGTATAATACAAGTACAGAAAAGTGTACATGTCCTAAGTGCTGGTAGTGGTGGTGTGTGCCATCAGACCAATTCTGACGCATGTTGGTGTTAGGTGCTGTCAAGTTGTCCCTGACTCATAGCAACTCTGTGTACAACAGAACGAAACACTGGTCCTGTGTCATTCTCATGATTCTTGCTATACCTGAGCCCATCATTGCAGTCACTGTGTCAATCCATTTTGTTGAGGGTCTTCCCCTTTTCGCTGAGCCAAGCATGATATCCTTCTCCAGGGAATGGTCCCTTCTGACCACTTGACCAAAGTAAGTGAGATGAAGTCTGGCCATTCTTGCTTCCAAGGAGCATTCTGGCTGCACTTCCTTTAGGACAGATTTGTTCATGCTTCTGGCAGTCCATAGTACTTTCAGTATTTTTTTGCCACACCACAATTCAAAGGCATCAACTCTTATTCAGTCTTCCTCATTCATTGTCCAGCTTTCACATGCATATGAGGTGGCTGAAAATACCTTGGTTTGGTTAGGTGCACCTTACTCTTTAAAGTGACATCTCTGCTCCTTAATACTTTAAAGAAATCTTTTGCAACAGATATACCACTGCAGTACAATGTCTGATTTCTTAACTGCTATTTCCATAGTTGTTGATTGTGGATCTGAGTAAAATGAAATCCCTGACCACTTCAACCTTTTCTCCATTTATCATGGTGTTATTTATGGGTCCAGTTGTGAGAATTTTTCTTTATGTTGAGGTGTAATCCATACTGAAGACTGTAGTCTTTGATCTTCATCAGTAAGTGCTTCAATGCCTCTTCACTTTCAGAGAGCAAAGTTATGTCATCTGCATATTCTGACTCCTAGTGACCTGATATGCCAGAGCAGAACTTCTCCATAGGGTCTCCTAGACTCTCATCTTTACAGGACAGATCACCAGGTCTTTTCTCCCACAGAACCACTGGGAGGGTTCAAACCACTGACCTTCTGGTTAGCAGCTGAGCACTTAAACCATTATGCTACCAGTGCTCCTTGTCCTAAGTGCATACAGCTCAGTAAATTTTCACAAAGGAACGCATAACCAGAACGCAGATCATGAAATAAAACATTACCAGCACCCTGGAAGCCATCCTCATGCCCCTTCCAGCCACTACCCCCAAGAATAACCACTGTCCTAACTTTTATCACTATAGATTACTAGTTTTGCCTTTTTTAACTTCACACAAGAGAAGCAAATCTATATCCTCTCTTGTGTCTTGCATCTTTCATCCAACATTATGTCTGTAAGATTCATCCATATCATTGTATGTCATTGCAGAATGTTCATTCTTTTTGCCGTATATTTTATTATGCATCTAAGTACAGTCCCAGAGTCGTGCAAATGGTTAACTAAATGCTAACCGAAAAGTTGGTGGCTTGAGTCCACCCAAAGTCACCTGGAAAAAAAGGCCTGGTCATCTTACTTCTGGAAGATCAGTCATTGCAAACCCAATGAAGCACAGTTCCACTCTGCCCCACATGAGGTCACCGTGAGTCAGAGTCTACTCAATGACAATTGGTTACTGGTTAGCCATTACAGTATTGGTGGGCATACAGGGGGCTGTTTTTATTTTTTACATAGTAGTGACCTGGGCTTGTATGAGGTTATAAGGAGGGAGAGAAGTGATATGGACCACATATGAGGATTTACTGGATGGGGAAAGAGAACCTGGCTGAGGGTGAGAACTGCTCCATGGTTCCAGGTGGGCTGTTGTGCCAAGACCTCCGGCAGCTCCTGCCAGCCAGTGTGCAGGTGCAGAGAAGGCAGGGAGTTGGGTTGCCCAGCGTTAGTTTCTGCCAGGTAGGGGAGAGGTGCAGGATATTAGCAGCAGGTGAGGGATGGAGTGGTGGCAGTGGATCCAGGCTGGTACTAGGCTGTGCAGGGAAGGTAGAAAAGATAGGAGGGAACCAGTGGAGAGAAAGAAAGTAGAGGCGGAGTGTAAGCCCCGTGCAGGGTGGTGTCTGTAAAACTCAGAGCTGTATCCCAGCAACTGGCACATGCTTGGCACAGGGTTGTCACTCAGTGAATAGTTGAATAAATGAGCAGAGGCCTCAAGGGACCAAGGCCTCAGGTAGAAGGCAGGTGAGGCTGGGGTGATGGAGAGTTGCCTGCAGGTTGTTGTCAAAGTGGTTGTGCTTTTAAGAAAGGGGCATTCCAAACGCAGGTGATAAGACTGGGCTGTTCTCATGGGGAGTGGCAGAAGGGAACAGAGAGGCCAGCACTGGGTGGGCAGTCCATGAGAATGCAGAAGTTGCTGGTATAGGTGCACAGTGGCCAGTTTTAAGAGAAGATAGCATTTCTCAAACAGGGGTCCTTGGCCCTCTTGCCTCTGAATTGGTATGGGGCTTGTTGGAAACGCAGACCCCTGGGTCCACTGTAGCTTTCTGGAAAGCAGAACTGAGTCTCAAAAGGACCAAGAGGGTTTGTGGGGCGGGGGAGTATTCAGTGCCTCTGAGATCAGGGTGGTGGGATGCCCAGTGGACCCTGAGCATGGTGGCCTCTATCCAGGTCAGAGGTGGATGGAGGATATTCAAGGAAGAAGTATTGAGGGTGGAAAAGGGCCAGCACCCAGGATTCAGGGCCTGAGGGCCAGGAGGAAGGGGCCTCAGCTGTAGGATGCAGCTGAGGCAGAGACTGGCTGGGCAGGGGGTTCTGATCTTTTGTAGGGTCTTGGGGGATCCCCAGACCAAGCACCTCATTGTGGGCATTGGGGTGAGGGTGGTATAAGGGGCTGTGGGACTGTGCCCCTGTTCCTTCTCTGCTTCCTTATTGGGACAGCAATACACTACCCACTCTCTCTTCTCAAGCCTCCAGACCCCTCCTGGTCAGAGCTGCACTCAGCTGGCTACCAGCAGTCTATCACTCAGCACCCCTAACCCTGCCTTTCGCTCTCAGCCCCACCCCTCCACTCTTCACACACTCAGAACCCCAACTCTCAGCCCTTGGTCAATTCAGCCTCCTCTCAGCGCTCTCATCTCTCGCTTTTTGAGCTCCTTATTCTTACAGCCGCTACTCATCCCTTCATCCAGTTTGCTGTGTTGTTGTTATGTGCCGTGGAGTCGCCCTGACTCATAGCGACCCCGCATTGCATTTCCGAGACAGTATCACTTCAGAAGTAGATTGCCCAACCTTCCTTCTTAGTAGTGGCTGGTGGGTTTGAACCGCCAGCTTTCTGGTTAGCAGTCAAGCGCCTTAGGCACTATGCTACCAGAGCTCCCTCATCCAGTTTAGAGACTGATATTCCACCAACGCGCCCAACACCGTTAATGCACGTTCCTGACCGCAGCAGTTAGTCCCCTCTCGGAAGAGAACCCCCAGTCGCCCCTCTCGTGAGCCAGGCAGGCCTAGGCCCCAGTGTCCCCCTGGTCCGGCCGGTCCCGCCCCATCCCGACGGACTGAGTCAGGCGGCAGGAACTGGGCGGGGGGCGGCGCCGGGAGGAGCCGGAGCCCGAGCCAGAGCGGCGGGGAGCGAGCACGCCGCCCATCTGGGTCGGTACCGTGAAGCCCTGGGCCGGTGGGGCCGCGGGGAGTGAGCGTGAGGCGGGGGCTGTCCTGGACCTACCATGAACGCCAAGAAGAAAGGTAGGACCCGGTCTGAGGCTCCGGAGACGCTGGCGTTTGCCTCAGGGGGTGCGGGGCTGGATTCTGGGGCCCAGGGGTCCGTGCTAATCCGCAACGGGGTGCGAGGACCCCTTTCCGCCGAGGGCGCGGGCGACGGTGGTGATCGTGACTCAGTTTCCAGTTGCGAGCTGCTGGAAAGTGGAGGGGGCGGGGCACTTCTCGGCACTGCCCCCCACTCTGGGAATCCCCCGGCTGCCGGGCACCCGTAGGGCTCCGGCGTCCCGGAGCGGCAACTAGGGGGAGCCAGCTTCCGCGGGGCAGGCGGGTCTCGGAAGCCAAACCCGCCCTGGCCCGGCCTGTTGGGCAGCTCGGCAGGGATGTGAACACCTCGCCCCACCCGGTGACCTCCTGCGGCCTCCTGGGGTGCGGGCGCCCAAGCTCCTGGTCGACTTGAGGGGGGGCAGGGGGCAGGGCTGGGGGAGCCCGCCCCGCCCCTGGGTAAACAGGCGCTTCCGCGCATTCTTCGCGCGCCCCGCCCCTTTCCTGCCCTTTCCCAGCCGGGGGAGGGTCCCTGCACGACCCCCCTTCCTGCCCCGCTGCAGGCGGAGTCCGCACCTCTGCAGGAAGCGGGGGCCGAGCCGAGGCCACGCTGAGTCCGAGGTCGAGTCGCCCGCGGATGCCCTGTCATTAGCGCCGGGGCCGGCGAGGTAGTCGGACTCCCAGCCTCAGCCCCTGGCCGGCTGGACAGCAGTACCTGGGGCCGTGCTACAGGGAGGGGGCTTCCGGGGCCTGACTGGCGCTGGACATCCCTCTCGCCACCCTCCAGGGAGCCCCGCGCGGACTCATTCCATGATGTCTCTGTCAGTGCGGCCGCAGCGCCGCCTGCTCAGTGCCCGAGTCAATAGGAGCCAGTCCTTCGCAGGCGTCCTCGGCAGCCACGAGCGGGGGCCCAGGTAGGCGACAGAGGGGTTTAATGCGGTCAGGAGTGTGGAGTGGGGTATGCAATGAGGGTTTGGGAGGCTCCTGCCCTTCCCTTTCTGAAAACAGCCTCTTCTTCAGGAGCTTCCCGGCCTTCAGCCCCCCGAGGCCCCCACGGAAGCCCCTAGCGCTCTCGCGTGTATCTAGGATGTTTTCCGTGGCACACCCAGCCCCCAAGGTGCCGCAGCCTGAGCGGCTGGACCAAGTGTATGCTGCGCTGAAGCGGGGTCTGAAGTAAGTAACTCTCTTACTATCGCTTCTCCCAGATCCCTTCTGCTAGCAGGAACCTTTGTGCCCACTGCCTGTAACCTGGGCACGGGAGGCTGGAAAGGTCAGTTAATTCTTGTCCATCCTTTCCCCAGAGCCTACTTGGAAGTGCATCAACAGGAGCAGGAGAAACTCCAACGGCAAATAAAGGAATCCAAGAGGAATTCCCGACTGGTAAGGGGTTAGAAGGGGCAGGGATATCCTAGACTGATACCTTTTGCCTTTGTAGTATGGGGGTGGGGGCTATGCAGTAGCAGCCTCAGTGACATCAAGGTTATTTTCTGGGGTAACCGTCCAAGTGTGAATGGAAAAGGGGATATCAGGGAAGGCTGGGGTTCCATCCTCCGCTTCTTTGTTGTGCGTACTTCCTGCCTGTGACCCAGCACTTGCCTGCATGGACTTCCAGCAGAGTGGGTCAGGCTATACAGACATGGACAACAGAAGATTACTGAGGAGAGATCTGTGGTTCTTCTAGGGAAGGGGTCACAGCTTCCCAAGAGACATTGCTGCTGGGTCTTGAAGGATGAATAGGAGTTTCCTGGCAGAGGGAACCATGCATTAGGAGGCACAGAGCTCTCCCCAGGGGCTGCAGGAAAAGGAGTAGATGGGACCAGGGAAGAAGTGGGGAGAGGAGCTACTGGAGGGATCTTGGAGTGCAGATCTGTATCACCAGTCCCCACCAAGGCCAGGCAGGGTGTGGGAAGAGGAGTCAATCCCTGCTGACTGGCGTGATTATGGACTGCTGTGTGAGGGGAAGGGAGACCGGGAGGGACAGGAGCTACGATGGGTCTGGGTGGGCAAGCACCTCTACTAGAGTCCTCTCCATGCCTCCTAAGGGCCCCTTCTCATTTCCGCCTGCAGGGCTTCCTGTATGACTTAGACAAGGTGAGTTTGATAGGATGGTGGTGGGAGGGGTTGGCTCCTGGGGAAGGTAAAGGTCCCAGGACCTCAGGCCACTCCTGACCCACCTGTCCCCCAGCAAGTCAAGTCCATTGAACGCTTCTTGCGACGGCTGGAGTTCCATGCCAGCAAGGTACGTGTACAGCATGCATGCACACCTGCAGGGTGGGCTGAGGGGTTGAGGTGTCACGGGGAGATGCGGAGTGAGTGCTAGCTTCTGAGTGAGTCTTAGTCCACTGTTACCACCCTGCTTACCTGCGCAGATTGACGAGCTATACGAGGCATACTGTGTCCAGCGGCGTCTCCGGGATGGGGCCTCCAACATGGTCCGTGCTTACACTACTGGGTCCCCTGGGAGCCGAGAGGCCCGGGACAGCCTGGCCGAGGCCACTCGAGGACATCGAGAGTACACAGAGGTGAGGGGTGGGTGCCTATGAAGCAGAGGCACAGGGAGTGGCAGGGCTGGTCAGAGCAGGGCTGGTTCTTAATACACACCCTGCCCTCTCCCTCCCAGAGTATGTGCATGCTGGAGACTGAGCTGGAAGCACAACTGGGCGAGTTCCATCTCCGGATGAAAGGTACTGAGTTGTGGGGGCAGATGGTGTATTCCTGAGATACCCCTAGCATGGCTCATCCACTTCTCCCCCCAGGGCTGGCCGGGTTCGCCAGACTGTGCGTGGGAGATCAGTACGAGGTATGAGGATGTGCCGGTAAGGGCCAGATGGCAGGGTCAGCACACCAAGGGCCGCCCTCATCCTGCTTGTTTCCACAGATCTGCATGAAGTACGGGCGTCAGCGCTGGAAACTACGGGGCCGCATTGAGGGCAGTGGGAAGCAAGTGTGGGACAGTGAGGAAACCATCTTTCTGCCTTTGCTTACAGAATTCCTGTCCATCAAGGTGATGTTCCTACCCAGGATCATAAGACACCTTGACTCTGTTCATCCCTGATCATGCTTATGACCCCAAGAAGTCTCAGAACTCTGATCCCTTGAGACTTCATGGCTGTCTTACTTATCCCGTGGTGCCATAACAGAGACACTATAAGTGGGTGGCTTTAACAAACAAAAAGTTATTTTCCCACAGTTGAGGAGACTAGAAGTCCAAATTCAGGGGGCTGGCTCTACGGAAGGCTGTCTCTGTCAGCTCTAAAAGAAGGGCCTTGTCTTTTCTGAGCTTCTCCTCCTGGGCATTCTTCATGTGGCTTGGCATATGCCTTCCCCCATCTCTGCATTTTTGCTTGCTTGTTTGATCTGTTTTATATCTCAAAATTTTGAGGTTGGTTTAAGACACACCCAACATGAATCCTGCCTCATTAACATAACAGAGAACCCATTCAGAAATGAGATTATAACCACAGGCATAGAGGTTAGGATTTACAACACATATTTTTGGCGGACATAATTCAGTCCATAAAATGGCCCTGTGAGTATGTGACCCCCTGACCTTCATGAAGAGAGCCCTGGCAGCATAGTGGTTAAAGCATTTGGCTGCTAACCGAAAGGCCGGCCGTTCGAACCTACCAGCTGCTCTATGGGAGAAAGATGTGCCAGTCTGCTTCTGTATAGATTACAGTCTTGGAAATCATATGGTGCGGTTCTGTTCTGTCCTTCAGGGTCATTACAAGTCAGAATTGAGTCATTGGCATTGAGTTTTTGCTGTTGGGTTTTTATAACTATGATTTCCTCATGATCTCTGTGGCCTTTAAAGTGACAATTTTTGTAACTCCCATGACTTTGTGGCCTCCTTGACCCATGACTTCCTCATGATCCTATGACCTTGTGATTACTTGACCCCCTAGGTCCCCATGAGGCTGTGACCCTCATGACCTTGGTGAGGCTACAAATAGAGACCTCTGTGATCCCTATACTCCCAGACTACTTCAAGCCTCCATGGCTCCACACACTTAAGAACTCCAATCCCTGGAGCCTCCTTAGGACCCCATGCCCCTCTTATAACCTCTGTAACTTGCAAATTCAGACCTCTGATCTCCCACCATCCGATGGCACTGATACCCTTGTGATCCTGCGGTTCACTCTTGGCTGTAGGTGACAGAGCTGAAGGGTCTGGCCAACCACGTGATTGTGGGCAGTGTCTCCTGTGAGACCAAGGACCTGTTTGCTGCCCTGCCGCAGGTCGTGGCTGTGGACATCAATGACCTCGGCACCATTAAGCTCAGCCTGGAAGTCACATGGAGGTTGGTAGGGCAGAAGGGTTTTGGGGCAGAGATAACGGGGTGGGGGGCCTGCTAACAGTCCCTTCCCTCCTCAGCCCCTTCGACAAGGATGACCAGCCCTCGGCCGCTTCCAGCGTTAACAAGGCCTCCACAGTCACCAAACGCTTTTCCACCTATAGCCAGAGCCCACCAGACACGCCCTCGCTGCGGGAGCAGGCCTTCTATGTGAGTCACAGCCCAGGCCCTTGCCTCATGGCTCCCCAGAGACCCATGGGGTCATCGTGAAATTCCCTTTCCTCTCTCCCAGAATATGCTGCGAAGACAGGAGGAGCTGGAGAATGGGACAGCATGGTCCCTGTCATCTGAATCTTCGGATGACTCTTCCAGCCCACAGCTCTCAGGCACTGCCCGCCACTCTTCAGCCCCCAGGCCCCTAGTGCAGCAACCTGAGCCCCTACCCATCCAAGTCGCCTTCTGTAGGCCTGAGACCCCTACCTCTGGGTTCATGAATGAGGAGGGGGCTGTGGCCCCAGCCTTGGCCAATGGGCACGCCCCCTACAGCCGGACGTTGAGCCACATCAGCGAGGCCAGTGTGGACGCTGCCTTGGTGGAGGCTTCAGCGGAGGCTGTGGGCCTGGAAAGCCTCGGTCGGGTACCAAAACCACCTACACATCCAGATCTCACGCATGAGGAGTACCCTGGTCCTGTCTCTCCTGCCCTTGCTACGCTGGATCCCGGTCATTCTGCTACAAGCCCAGCCCTTAGTACAGTAGGCTCTGCTCACACATCTGCAGACCCTGCCCCATTTGAACGAGTAGAGTTAGTTCACAAGGCCACAGACTGTGGTTCTGACCTGCCAAGCCCTACCCACACCAGTCATAATGCCATAAGCTCTACCCACAGTGCTGTAAGCCTTGCCTGTACCACCACAGGATCTGCCCCCACGCCCGTGGTCTCTACCCTCACTACTGCAGGGCCTGCTCCCAGTGCTGCAGGTTCTACCCCCGGTGCCACGGGATCAGGCCAGACCACCGCAGGCCTCAAACACACTGTCACAAGCCCTACCTGCAAGCCAGTGCTCTCTGCTTTCACAGCTACAGGCCCTACCACCAATACTGCAGACCCTATCACTAGCACTACAGGCCCAGCTCAGACCACCACAAGCCCCACTCAGACTACAGCAAGTTCTACTCACACTACCACAAATGCCACCCGTACCACCACCAGCCCCACCCACACCACTGCCAGCCCTACCCATACTACCACCAGTCCCACCCACACCCACACCACTGCCAGCCCCATCCATGTTGCCCTAAACCCTACTCACAGTGCTAGGGTGTCAAGTTACACCACTGCAGATCCAACCTCCAATGCTAGAGACCTAGTCCAGACCACCACGAGCCCTACCCTGAAAACTATAAGCTCTTCCACTTCTCTAGGTCTTGTTTCTCTCTCCTGCCTCCCTGTGCACACAGACCCAACCCTCCTAGGTACCAACTCCCTACCCTGTGGCCACCTAGCCACCGTCCCCTGCACTCAGGCAGACCCCATAGCCCTCAGCACCGCCCCCAGTCCTACCTGCACTGGTTGGGAACCCCTCACGAGCCCTACCCCAGGGCCCAGCCTTCAGAGCCCAAGCCCCCCTCCCTCACCCTTAGCCCCTGCACCCCAGCGTTCAGATCTTAGCCTGGCCATGGCTGCCCAAGCCCTAGTCCCAGAGGCAGCTTCAGAGGCGGGGGACAGGAGGCTGGAAGAGGCGCTGGGGGCTCTAATGGCAGCCCTTGATGACTACCGTGGCCAGTTCCCCGAGCTACAAGGCCTGGAGCAGGAGGTGACCCGGCTGGAGAGTCTGCTTATGGTGAGTCTGCTGGACTGGCTGGGCTGGGGCCATGTACGGAGGTAGCCAAGCTGTGGCAACAGCTCTGACTTCCTCCACAACCTCAGCAGAGGCAAGGCCTGACTCGCAGCCGGGCCTCCAGTCTTAGTATCACCGTGGAGCATGTCCTGGAGAGCTTCAGCTTTCTCAACGAGGATGAAGACGAAGACACTAATGGTCCTGGGGACAGGTGATCAGGGGCTAGGGGAGGGGGAAGAGGTGAAGGAGGAGCAGGTGGGTAGGGACACGAGTGATACTAGACCAAGTGAGGAGGAACAGGTCAGGTGGGGCACATGAATAGGGCAGCAGGACTGGAGGTGGGCAGGAGAGGGTGACTTGCTGACAGGTGTGTCAGTGTGTACCCCTCCCGTGTACATCCCTTGTGTGTCCTCGATGGCCGTGTCTCCAGTGTTTCTGGCTGCTCTCCTCCTCCTCATCTCTGTAGTGTCTGCCTCCCGCACCGACCCCCATCTGCCCGTGAGTCTCCAGCTCCCCATCCTGCCCTTGGCCTCGCCTTGGATGCACCCTACAAACAAGCCCTTTCAGTGCCCCCTCATACACCCTTCGTCTCCCAGCATCGGCTCCCCCGACTTCAATCACAACTCTCTCGCTCGGCTCTCTATCTCCAGGCAGCTTTAGCCACTTCCCAATTGAGGGTCGTGCCCGGCCATTCCTCCCTCTCCTGCTATCCGGTTCTCAACCCCACACCTTACACCCCTCAGGCCTCAGCCCTGTGCAGTCCACACTGCATAAACCATCCCACTGCAGCCCTTCTCCCACCCATCCCAGCTCTGGAGGTCCTAACTGGAGGTGGCAAGGACAGTCTGACTCCAGAGAGCTCCCTGCCACCAAGTGAACCCCTTCCTCCTTCTGGAAGTCTTCTGTGAACTTGCCCATTGTTTGTTATCTGTGTATTGTCTTTCATCTTGGGACGGGAGAGCGTGATAAAAATGCACTGGTGACCAGAGGGTGATGTGTGCTGTTGAGGTGACCACCTTATTTTTCTCCCAGGCCTTCAAGCAGCCCGGAACCTGGGGCTGAGGACAGCCTGGACTCACCCAGTGCCCACCCCCTCAGCACCGGATGTCCAGCTCTGGATATCGCTCTGGTCCATCACCTGTACCACTGCAGTCGCCTCCTGCTGGTGAGGCCTGTGCTGTTCCCCCACCCTCCCCTTGTAGCCCCTTACCCCAGGGAGGCCTGTGCTTCAATTCTGGCCCTCTGCACCTCCTCTGAGTTCCACACCTCACTGCCCCAGAGTCCTGGCACCTGCCTGGCCCTTGCTGAAAGGTCCACTTACAATACTCGGTTCTCTCCATCCTTTCCCAATGCATGCTGGGACTTGTAGTCTCTGGGGTCTGAGCTCCTTGACCATCCCTGTTCTACAGAAACTGGGCACATTTGGGCCCCTGCGCTGTCAGGAGGCATGGGCCCTGGAACGGCTGCTTCGGGAGGCACATGTGCTTGAGGCAGTGTGTGAGCTCAGTGGGAAATGGAAGCTCCCTGCCACCTCTGCCCAGGAAGGTAAAGGCCCTGTGGGTTCGGGCTTTGGTATCTGCCTCAAAGCTCCTGCCCTGCCACACCCCACCCGCATGCCTGTCTGCCACCTGCCTGTCCTGTGCCTGATAGTTCTTGCACCCTTCACAGTGGTGCAATTCTCAGCCTCTCGGCCTGGCTTCCTCACCTTCTGGGACCAGTGCACAGAGGGACTCAGCCCTTTCATCTGCCCTGTGGAGCGGGTGCTCCTCACCTTCTGCAACCAGTATGGTGCCCGCCTCTCTCTGCGCCAGTCAGGCTTAGCAGAGGCTGGTGAGTGGGCTGTTTGCCTGCCCCTTTGTCATTCCTGTCTCACATCCCTGGTGATGGGGGCCTCAGGAGAAACCAGGTCAGCCCACACAGACATAGTGAACAGGGCACTAAGGAGAAATAGCAAAAGCTTGTGCCAGGGGCAGGAGAACCCAGACGGTAGGATTCAGATAGGGGGCTCTGGACCTGAACCTGGGATGGGGACACTCTCAGAGGGCCTGGGCCTATCCAAAGCCTGATGGGCATTGCCTCCCACAGTGTGTGTCAAGTTCCTGGAGGAAGCCCTGGGGCAGAAACTGCCCAGGAGGCCCAAGCCAGGCCCTAGGGAGCAGCTCACCATCTTCCAGTTTTGGAGTTATGTCGAAACCTTGGACGAGCCCTCCATGGAGTCCTACGTGACGGAGACTGCCGAGGAAGGTGAGCCCGAGTGTGTGGATGAGGATAGGAGGACACCCAAGGCCTCCCCACCTCAGGAGGCTCTTTGCCATGCCACTTTGTCCCAATCCACCCCATCTTCCTTTTAGTATTACTCGTGCGGAACCTGAACTCGGATGACCAAGCTGTGGTGCTGAAGGCCTTGAGGTTGGCGCCCGAGGGGCGGCTGCATAAGGATGGGCTGCGAGCCCTCAGCTTCCTGCTAGTCCATGGCAACAGCAAGGTCATGGCTGCTGTCAGCACTCAGCTCCGGAGCCTGTCACTGGGTCCTGCCTTCCGAGAAAGGGTAAGGGCCAGCCAGTGCTTCCCTGAGGGCAAGGGCTGGGGCCCCAGGCTTCTAGCACCTGCCTGAGTCTGCCCTCCTGCTCACCCAGGCCCTCCTGTGCTTCCTGGACCAGCTTGAAGATGAGGATGTACAGACGCGAGTGGCTGGCTGCCTGGCCCTGGGCTGCATCAAGGTGACTGCTGCCAACCCACCCACCTATCCTATCCCTTCCTGACCCTCACGCTACCCCTGGGTCCTTGGCCTCTCCTGCCTGTTCCACTGGGTCTCCCTCAATACTGTCTCCCCTGGTAGGCACCCGAGGGCATTGAGCCTATGGTGTACCTGTGCCAAACGGACACAGAGGCTGTGCGGGAAGCTGCCCGGCAGAGCCTGCAACAGTGTGGTAAGGCCGGAGGACCAGGTGGGATGGGCCAAGCTGACTCCTGGCTGATGAGAGGAGGGGCAAAATGGGACCAGAGGTGATTGGACCAGGATCGAGCAAGGCTACCCCTGACCCCATCCTCACCCATCGCAGGGGAAGAGGGACAGTCTGCCCATCGACGGCTGGAGGAGTCGCTGGATGCCCTGCCCCGCATCTTCGGGCCTGGCAGCATGGCCAGCACAGCATTCTAACTGCCCCCAGGCTCTCAGAGCCCTGGCCCCGGCCCCTACTTTCAGGGCTTACCAGGCACTGGCAGGGAGGGTGAAGGCTGGCTCTGGACACCCCTCCCCCACAGATTCCTTTCGATGAAAATCTAATATATTCTGTTTCCCTTGGGGTTAGTAGAGTCAGTGCCTGCAGTCAAGTGCCTCCCAGACCAGGCTCAGCACACCCCTTGCCTGAATCAGTATTCAGGGCCTAGCCACCCCGCCTCTGCTCCTGCATCCCTTGGTTTTGTATATTATTTACAGTTTTACAGAAAATAATAATAATAAAAAAGCCAATGTCTTTCCTACGTGGTCTGTCCTGTTGTGCTCTGACCCTCCTCTGGTTGTGGTCCTGCCTGACACTGGTGTGTCCACACTGCAGCTGTGGGAAGGGCGTACCTGTGCATCTGCCCTGGATATCCGGATAGAAGGGAGTACTGTGCATGGGATGTTGTTTGGGCAACACGGGAAGAGGCTCAGGCTGCAGGCCTGGAGTCGCACAAATGAGGCCCAGGGCTTGCCTGGGAGTCAGTCCCTGCCCAAGGAGGGGTCACTGTGAGTTGGGTCCCACTCCCCGCACATAAAGGCGACAACAGGGCAAAAAGGCAGGGAAAGGAGTCACGCTGGCGGCTGGAGCTTCTGGCCACCAGGGGGCAGCAGAGCACTGTCAGGAGATGCCTGGTTTCTGGGTCTGCCCCAAAGCCCAGGCTGCTGCTTACTGAGGGAGGTGGGAGCTCCTTGAGGGCTGTGGCAAGAGTCAATATTCTAGCAGAGGGGAAGAGCTAGGGCCTGAGAGGCAGGAGACCCGGATGGGTGCCCTGTGACCTTGACTGCAAGTCCTTCCCTTCCCAAAGCCCGCCTCCCCTTCTGTAATAACAAACCAGACTGACCTCTTGTGGGTGGGGATAGCAGGTTGACCCCCGCTGTTTCAGGAAGCTGGGCCCTGGGGAGAGGGCTCAGCTCCCCTCAGAGCTGCCTAGCACGTGAATGTCTGTTAACCTCAGAAGGTGGAGTTCTATGTGAGGAACTTGGGGTAGGGTGGGACACCATGATGTTGGGCCTGTTCTGAGGCCCCCGATCCAGCCCCAGGCTCCTCTCCCTCTAGAGGCAGGGACGTTGCACGCGCAGCTCCTCCTCCACTCCCCTAGCCCACTTTGCTGTTGTAGAGCTTGTGGCAGCAGCAAAGCAGACACCGGGGAAAGTGTGCCCTGCAACTTAGGATAAGCCAATGGAGGTGCCCACAGTCTCCCCTGGGAAAGTGACCCAGATCCCCAGAGAGCCCTGCCCCACAGCATTCAGAGCTGTGTATGAAGGTTGGCTGGGGCCTTAACCACCTGCTGGGGAAGCCAAGCTGAGCAGAAAAACGGCAACAGGAAGGAGCACAGGAAACACCTGTGTGTGGACGCAGGTGGCTCATTCCAGGCAGGGAGGGGGCGGGGGCAGGCAGACACCCTCAGCACCTCGGCACAGCTCCGTGCTCTCTGCAGCCATGAAGGCTGGCGTGGGCCAAATGGCGCTGCTCAGCTTTTTGGGTGGTCAGCTGAGACAGCAATGTGGGGTTGGGTGGAAACAAGTGATAAGAGACCAAGTCAGCACCCAAAACTGTCCACAGCTTGGGCCTGTTTCAGAGACCCCTGCAGGGGGCTGCAGCCCCAGAACCACCCCACTAAGAGCCCCACAGGCCTGCAGCCCCACAAGAGGTCAGCTCCACTGAAGGGCAGGACTGCCCACTAGCATCAGAAGCACAGCCTGTATGGTGGCAGTGGAGAAAGTGAACACTCACAGACCAGGAGTGACCCAGCCAGCAGGCGCTCCCTGCTCAACCTACAGGAGAGGACAGGCTAGACAAGAAATCGAGGATGGAAAATGTCATCAGTCCAGCCAGAGATCAACTGTGGTTATTACCGAGAATGTGAGTGGCCCTACACCCCCATTCCCCATTGGTGGGGAAGGATAAGCCCCCTATTCTCTGTCCTCCACAAGAAGGGTCCTGAAGCTGGAGCCTGGCATTCAGCTCAGGCTGAGGGTCTTTGTGAGGGTCAGCATGGACAGGAGCCAGATTGAAGGCACTGTGAGCATAGGCAGGTAGAAGACTGTCAAGGTCAAGACCAAATGGGTATGGACACTCAAGCCTTTGCCCCATCAAGCCTACCTACCTCAGAGCAGTGCCGATCAGCCCCAGGACAGCGACATGACCTCTCTCCATCAGCGGCTGGTAGGCTAGATGGACCTGCCCAAGCCCATGTGAGATGGTAGAAGGCAGGGAGAGCCCTTGTACTCCCTCCCGTCCATCCCCACAACACTTACACACACACATACCCTTAAAGGTGCTTCTCACAGGGCAAAGCTGTTCCATAGCACTGCCTCCCCTACCGTCAGGCAGGACTGGGAAGGCATGGGCTCCCACTGCCTCAGATTAACTGTCGTCAGGAGCCTGCTGCACCAGGTGATGGGAGGTGATGACGGAACCAGAGGCACACAGCTGACCTGTGGAGACTGTGCCAACCTCTATGAGGGGACAGAAGGGAGTGGGCCTCCAAGGCCTGGGACACACCAAGAAGCTCCCTACCAGCCAGTCCATCAAGGCCACAGCAATGCCTGCCCACCGTCTTCAGTCAGGAAGCCGATCCGTGCGCAAGATAAAAAAGGGGCCAGGCTGAGGCAGTGCAGGTGCACTTTATTGTGTTCATGTCACTGGAGCCGCCTCCCACTCCCCTCCTTTCCTTTCCTCTCGCCTTCTCCCAACCTGACCTTTCCTCGCATCTCCCACTCTTCTTCCTCACGTATTCAAACTGCAGAGGAAAAAAAAGAGAAGGCATGTTTGTGAAGGCAAGGCAGCAGATGGGTTGGCACGTGGGAAGAGGATGCTTCTTTGTCTCACCCACAGAGCGGGGGTGCCTGCCTTGTGTGTTCCATGCCTGGTGTGTGGGTATAATTTGCTGCACCTCAAGCATATGACAGGCTCCCTTTTTCCCTCACCCCATCACCCAAGACAGCCCTGAAATGTCCCATGCAGGCCACCCATCCCTGTAGACAGAAGGCTCTTGGCTTGGCTGCCAAGCCTGGGCACCGAAGTGTGAGAAAGGCACACTCTTCTAAGCCTGACTCCAGAGGGTGAGCTTTCGAAGGAGTCCAGCGCTGCAGATAGACTGCTAGGGACGTGCAATCTACCACTTAGAAAATGCGACTGGCATCAGCCTGTGAGAAAGGGGCCTCCTGTTTTAGAGGGCTGCTATCAGATGGGGGTCACTGGTCTGTCTGATGTCAAGGGTCAATCTCAGTTGTCTCTGAATACACACGGGCCTGACGGGCACTCAGTAAATGCTGACGTGCGGTGGCTGAATAAGCAGGTGACTTGCTAGGACCAGCACACAACTTTCCAGCTACCCCCTCTGAAGCTCTGCAACCTTCTACTCTTCCTCGAGCATCACTCCACAGGGTTCCATTCTAGGTCCTTTCCTGCTCTTGAAAGACATTCCCTGGACTTCATACATTCCACCATAGAGGCAGCACACTGATCATATGGCTCCCTCCTCAGCTCCAGAGCCCTGTACTCAACTAACTGGATACGTTCTTTTAAATGTCCCAGGCACCTCAAACAACTTGCTCAAACCTGAACTCAACATCTTCCCAAAGCATGTTCCTCTTTCAGGGCTCTTAAGAGTTACCAACTACCCAGCCACCCAAGCCATATAAATGGACCTCATCCTTGACTCTCCTGTCTCTTCCTTTCAGCCATTAGCCATCCTCTCAATTAAATCCCCTAAATATTTCTAAATTGTTCATTTCCGTCTAGCCCCATTGGTACTACTCTGGTTTGAGACATACTACCTCTTCACAGGCTTCCTGCCTCTAGTCTGCCCCTCTTCAGTCCATTCTCTACGGTACAAAGTGATTACTAAAACATAAATGTGCTACTACCACAGACTCTTCCCCTTTAGGGAAAATTCCAGCTCCCTCAACCCGGCCCTCACAAGGCCCTTCTGGCTCTGATCCCATCTCCAGCCTCATGTCTGCACCTAACTTCTTACTCTGCACCTGAACCTCATTAAACCACTTGTGGTACACTCCCCACCCTTGCTGATACCTGATTACCCAACAAGCTTCACTACAGACATCACAAGTCTATTCAGGAAGCTGCCCCACCACTATGCTCCTGTCACAGGAGCTTGCATTTTACTAGTACAGAACTAACCACACTCTATTGCCAATTGTTTATTTTGCATACTATGACATATACATCCATAAGTATCTGCTGACTGTTCTATTAGGTACCAGGCCCCACACAGGTCTACGGAAGCTGATGGGTGCCTTTCCTTATGGAGCTTGACCCAGGGTAAGTTTATTTTTGTTCTTTTAACAGCTTTATTGAAATCTGATCCACCTACCACGCAACTTACCCTTTTAAAGTTTATACTTCAATGGCTTTTAGTATATTCACAGAGCTGTACAAGCATCACCACAATCAATCTTAAGAGTATTTTCATCAACCCCCAAGAAACCCCACATGCCTCAGCCATCAACCTCCGATCTTCCCATTTTCCGCTTCCTCACTCTAGCCCTAGGCAATCACTAATTTACTTTGTCTCTATAGATTTGTCTGTTCTGGTATTTCGTTCAAATAAAGCTTAGGTTTATTCCAACTCACCCAGTTCTAAGATTTACCTCATAACTTCCCTGGAGATGCAAATTCAAATTCAAAGGACTGTGATGTCCAGTGACCTCTCTGTTCCTCCTGCACATACCATCCAAACCTTTTCATTTGCCTTACCTACTAAGGTTCATGAGGTCGAGCCTCGTCTTTCCAACTGAAATATGAGGCACTTGACTGCTAGGGTCATCATCTCTCTCCAGTACTGGCTAGCCTTGAACATAGACTAAGGTCCCAGGCAGCAATTCAGGACGCACTTAAGATGAGTAGGATGTCACCCTCAAAACACCTCTACTATCTGCCTGCCCGAGTACCTGAAATGTTCACAATCAGTCCTCTCTTTGGGTTAAGGCAGGAATTTCCAACTTGTTTTAGGAGCAGAAACCTCCCTCTACCCCCCACCAGCAAATCACATAAAAATGGGAGAAATGGAAGAGGGTGGGGGAGCAGAGACTGCTTAACAGGTCTTTCTTCCCCTTCACTTTCTAAGACAGACTCTGAGCTAAAGTATCATATCAGAGAAACTTCTCACAATGGAAGGATCACCTGATAGAGAACAGACAGAGGTGGCGGGGGGCAGGGGGGCTGGAAGGCCTGAGTACTCATTCTGGTTTTGCCAACAAGTTGCTGGACAACCCTGAGCAAGTCACTTCTCTC